CTCGACCCTAAAAGCGTCGTTAAAAGAAGAACTTTGTCGATTCAACCACAAAAATGCATCGTCAAAATCATGACTTCTCACGCGAAAACGTTCCTTACGGTATCCATTCGAACGCACGGCAAGTGAACCAGCCTGCGAACAGGCTCCCAGCAAGGGCGGAAAAAATATCCGGCAGGGACGGAAAAAAAAACATCCAGCGAGCGAAGGGGATATTTAGGGGGGTGGTTGAGGAAGAATAATATATTCAGGAGGTACTGTTTTAAGAGAGATTAAGAGAGATGTGTATGCGCTGGAGTTAACTGGCCGCCCAACCATCCGGGTGGTGTCGCACTTATAAAGCGAAAGAACAAAAGGCTCGACTGTGAGCCAATGAGAAAGTACTGACGTCATAGCCAAACTGGTAAAACGAGTTTCTGACACCGGCTGTTTTTGATGATTCAAAATAGCGGACATACCTTAACTTAAGGCTATAATATGCTAATTTGTCAAACATTCTTTATATGCACGCTTATGTTCTGTAAAGGCTTTGTAATTTATGCTATACATCCAGTTAAAATATACGCGTTCTTGAGTTACAGAAGCCGGATTAAGCCTTGATTGATGACGTTTGTTTAAGGTTCTCTCTGCCATCTAATACTACACGTTGCAGCGAAAGGGTAGTTCAAATTCGTCGACGTCTTCCATCTACGAATGCCTGCGAGCGAAAACAACTTCCAGTGCCGTGCCGCCTAAAGCATCACGATTTTCAATGTTATTCCACCAGATATCATTGTCTCCGCAGCGTTTAGATTTGAGGTCAATTAAGTAGCGAGATCCCCGAGAACTGGAAGCTATGGAAAGAAAAATACTGTAATAATTACTTGCTTTGGAGCGGGAAAGCTCCGTGTATCAACTCGCCATGTTCAAGGACGTTATTGATGACGATGGCTTTTACGTGTTCAAAGCCTTAAGCTATACTGAAGAAGAACAAGAAGAAGAAGAAGATGCAAACGATTGTCATGTAGTAATGGGGAAGATGAAAAGATATTGCATCGACGAAGTAACGTAAACGAGATTGTTTCAGCAGAAGGGAAGAACTTCCTACCGAAACGCTCGACAATTTAATCGCTGAACTAAAAAGAACCTTGGCAAAGAGCTGCAATTTATGTGACTTTTTACGGCTTTTACACGATACTCTCATCTGCGTTCGACTGGTCTTGGGATAAAACATGAGCAAAGAACAAAGCAGCCACTTAGGATCACAGACCCCACGTTAAACAAGTGTATCGACCTTCCAGCATCCGAGATGCAAATATAGGGATCTTAACAATGACGACGGCGACGTCGACGACAACGCCTTGTAAAATTGAATTTGTCCAGGATGCCAAGGGTTCTAAAACCTCAGCTCGTTCAGGCTAAATATGTAATGACAGCGTTCAATCCTAAATGGAAATACGAAAAATTCGTAGTTCGACTCATCGTTCACGTTCGCGGTCATTTTGCGTTGTTGTTTTGCAGAGGACGGCTATGAAACGTGCAAAGGTTTACTGGTTTTGCTCATTAAACCTTCTGTTTGATGGTGCTCGTCGTGGTTTGCTCCAGATTCCGTCCACACTACGACGGAGGAATTTAAAAACGCACACAGCTTTATTTGTACGGTTAGGCCTGCGGTCCAGAGTAATCCGTCACGAAAACGGAGCTTTTCAAAAACGCTTTTTCAAACCGGAAGAATTTGAAAACGCCGGCTTCGAGTTTTCATGTGGACGGAAACATTTTAAAACGGATCTTTTCGAACACGATATGATCAGGAGAACCACGTGATTTCCCTGGCCGAGATTTCCTCAAACAAAAATATAAAACGACAGGTGATTGTTGCGTTTTTAAATTCCTCCGGTGTAGTGTGGAAGACCGGGCCTAAGCTTCCTAGGCTCCTAATGAAGCCAATAATCAGACGGGGTTCTTCAATGGTCTTCAATGAGTCCAAAGAGAAAAAAATCGGAGGAGGTCCCGCGCAATCAGAAATGCACCATAAATAACTGCACCGTAAACATTATATATCTTTAGGAGTGGAACTCTTTAAGGACTTCGATCAAGTTTAATGTTTGTTATATGTTACTAGCATTATCACGAAGGCTGACCCGGCGGCTAAATAAAGTTTTACTTTACTTACTCTTACTGTCGGATTTATCAGAAGGAACCTGGAACACATTTAAGAAAAACTCTTGTTATTCATTAGTGAGAGACCATCTGTGTGGGATTCACAAACCCAAAAGGAAATTCATGACATCCAGATCTAAGGTGTACAACGACAAGCTGCTCGTTTTGTTAAACATTTTTATCATCGAATACCAGGGTATGTGACCAGTCTCTTGAATGAGCTAATAATGATAACGCATCTCATTAAAATCGGTTCTGCAGCCATTTCTCTTTAAATCAGTTGTTATCAGTTAATTTAGAACCAAGTAGGCTATTCACGTGATATATACTACTACCACGAAGGTAGCTATATGTAACATGCAATATTCATTAGATTAAGAACAATTAAGATTACAGAAAATGGATATCGGAAGATGTGCTCTAGTGACGGTTATAACTTATTTCTTCTGTAATCTTTGGAGATCGGGTGATTTTCCCTTGTCTACTCTCAGAGTGTTCACACGTATTTTATCGCGCTCCACTGTTTTGTATTTTAGTCGGTTTTCAATTTGTTAAAAATGTCCTTGCAAACGAGAATTCATCATCAATTGCATCTTTGGCTAGTCGACTCAACTACTTGATCACGAAGGATCAATTCAAGTGGTATGGGGATTTTAAAGCTTTGATTTGTCTGGTCAAGACATCACTCGAGTTTACGGAAGACGGCGAGATCTCAGAAGATCCAGCCCATAAAATGTTTTTTTATTTAAGGTGGGTGATATCATAATGAAGTGGTATTCTTCGACTCATATCGTCCAAACCCAAGGGTCTGGTTACGCCATCTTGCGAGAAAAACTAGGCAACCTCTTTAAATCGAATTATCCCCCTGTTACATCAGTATCCCCCTGTTAAACCATTATCCCCCTTTTAAATCAGTATCCCCTTGTTAAATCAGTATCTCCCTGTTAAATCAGTATCCCCTGTCAAACCAGTATCCCCCTGTTAAGGTCTTTAAGAGACTCTACTTTCTCCATCCCACAGGAGTAAAAATGGGGATACAAATTCTTGCACTTGGTAAGCAACTTGTCACGAAAGAAACATCTGCTTATTATAACAAGGAGATACACATGGCAAACAAAATTTTAGGTCCACTATATTAGGAGCAGCTAAGTCATAACGCATATCATACGAAGCGCTGATGACGTCGGACGGAAGGCTGAGGGGTGAAAGAGATCGGTAGGTGAAAAGCTGAGGGAAGGCTGAGGGGATACATTTTATAGTCATTGGGTCAGAACCCTTTGATTGCCTCAATTTAATAAATGGGGTAAAATCTCTAGACGTCAGCTTTCCAAATTCGCTACAGCTGTTAATTTACCTTAATCTACTGCGCATGCACTAATCAACTAAATCGTTAAGAACACTGCATAACAGCCTCTTTAGAAATTAACCACGTGGTATAAATGAGAATCTGAGAGCTGTTAGGAAAACTGACAAAGTACTCGCCATGGGAACTAACCTGCACTGAATTAGCATCCCATATAGATCTAAGGAATGTGTAAAGTATTCGTATCAGGGAGAGAAGTGCATGGAGCTTGAGTAGAGAAGCTCATTGCAGAGCGGGAAAAGACGTTTCACGAGATAGCCCAAAGGACCCTTGATTGCGACGGTTTGACATGACCACTCCCGGTTTTCTTCCTGACATTTACCTTGTCGAATGTATAGATATAAACTTATCAAGAGCGAATAGCTGTTTGGTTCCACACAAAACTGCTGGTGCGTGATCAAGTGCGTAACACATCTAATGTAATTCATTGTTGCAC